ATACGTTGTAGAAACTGGAAATATTTTTTTTCTTTAAGATATAACAACAAATGACACTTTCGTGGACAGCTACAAACTCCACGAAAAAATTGTTTCTCTGACACAGAATTCAAATATGATTTTCCTGAAGTTCTTTCCAACTTAGTCTTAGATCTTTTCCAAATTGACTTATTTTTCTTACGTTTTTTACCCCTACTTAATCCAGGCTCTACAAGTCCATCTTCTTTGAAGCTTTCCCTAGTTGTAAAAGACTTATCATTAGATGTTGAATAGAAGTCAGAGCCAGAATCTGTTTTAAATTCACTGGCTTCACGAGTACTGGATGTATCCGACAACGGCATTTTCAAGCTATAACAAAAATATTCTGTATTAATTAATTCAAGTAATCAAATCTCTTTAATTTAAAGATTAACGTCAACTTTTTGCAACATTGCTTAGAAAATCATAAACATGCCATAGATATTATATGTCTATATATAGAAAACGAGCCTGCTACTTTAATTTTAAGGCTATAATTTTAAAGTTATAATCTTTAAAAATTTAGAATCCTAATTTAAATGTTGAGCCGAGATATTTACAATCAGTATTAATTTATACTAGTAGTATAAAATACAATAATTTATTCAGTATTACTCAAGACTGCACAAACATAAAACGTATAAAAGGCTGATAGTAGGCACTTAAAAAAAAAACGAATTAACCCTAGACAAGACTGATACAAACACCCAACTGCCACTTGGCTAACATTTCCATAACTAGATCATATGAAATGTTTACGTAGCCTTACTTTACAACTCGCGTGATCTCTTTGTATAGAGTAAAATGTTAGTTGAGCCACTTGGAAATGAAAGATAGTGCAGAAGTGCACAAAAATTGGCATATCTGGGACACGTACTGATATGAGAAAAAGACTACTTACTGCAACTGATACTTATAAGTAAAATCAAAGGCCGATGAGGAATTGACAGAAAGCAACAACCATTGCTCCCAAATATTCGAGAATGGACAGGCATAAGAACTGCTGCTATTTTGAAAATAATTTCTACTCGCATTTTTTTTTTTGAGAACAATTTCCGATTTGTAAATCGACATGTCTAATACAAATCTAAAATGTAATATAGTGCGGCTATATAGTGCTAAATATTGTAATCCTATAAAATTACAATATTTATATACGGCTAATGTATTTTGTTACTTATGCTGTTTTTGTATGCAGTAATTCATCTATGAAATACTGATGCGTCTATAGAGTTGATTTACAGTCCTTATTATTTATATAAACCACGTCTGATTGACTGTCTTTATTGATAATAGGTTTGTGTTTTAAAAAATATTATTTAAATACTTTTAATGATTTATGGACAAGATTTATATTATATCTAGAAAGCGTCTATTTTTTTGGAAAAATAATTGTTTTATAGCAATGATATGTAGTTCTTGTATGTATTATTGGAGATATTGTTGTTATTGTTTGGGATATTCAATCCATATTTAATTAATTCAATTTAATTGGAAAAAATATTATGGACAAATCTAATGACCTATATTATCTGTTATATCTTTACCACATAACAATAAAAAATATATTAGTATTAAATAAAACGTTAAATTATTATTTATAAAACGTCAAAAAATCATATCTAGACTATGTTACTACTCACTCTGCTATAATTTCTGAACTCATGCATGCAGTTTATTGTAATACGAGATCTTCCTACTTTGTTTTACAATGTGTAGTCGATGGATGGTCAGTTTGCTCGTAGCACTTACCATAGATAATTAAGATGCGAATGCGTGTCCCTAATTTCGTTCCGGGATAGAATAATTTACTAATCCACATAAACAACAACAACGAATAAGAAACTAATGTGAAAGTTTTGAGTAATTTATGTTACAATTTAATTATTATAAAGTTTATTAGATGCATAAATTTGAAAGTAACATACCTAGTGGATTTGTTGGCCGGTAAATAGGAAAAAAATTATTATGGAGATATAAACATAGGCTATAAACGTAGCAAAATATAGGGCGTGTCGATTTATTTGCATTCGGTTTAATCTATTTTAATTCGATTTATCTCTATCTAAAATAATTGTTTAAAGATTACGACCAGTACAAGTCACGGCTCACTTTTTAAAAGCAGTTGGTTTAAGTACCAAAGAACGAAAACTGGGATGATTTTAGGATATTGTAAACCGATAAAAATAATTAATGATTCTAGGACCTAGAAAATCAGAATTTTTTATTCTTTATTTTAATACATTTATTATTATCATACATACAATTATATAAAAAACGTATAGTTTGATGTAACGAAACTTACACAATCTTAAGATACATCCAGTAAGTAGTTCATTGGGAGTAAAAACCAGAAACATTGAATATTTTTCTAAAATCCTGGTGGTTGGGAAAATATGTAGTATTTATTTTTTGACTTTTTTTTTTACTTAACTAAAAACAACTAGAGAAGTTTTGTATATACTTATGAATAAAATACTAATGACAAAACAAATAACCAACAGTTGGAACGAAGCAATAATACTGTTACTATTTAAGAAAGGAGATAAAAAGGATCTAAAGAATTACAGACCCATAACTTTACTAAATGTGATGTACAAACTATTAACCAAAATATTAAAAAGTAGATTAACAACTAAATTAGATGGATACCAGGCAAGAGAACAGCCGGATTTAGAAAGAGCTTCACTACAAGTGACCACCTTTTAACGATGAAGATATAAATCGAAATGACTAACGAATATCATATCCCGCTTTACATGGCATTTATTGACTTCGAGAAGGCATTTGATAGTGTGGAACACTGGGCAGTACAGAATTCCCTACAAAACAGCAGAATAGACTACCGATATACCGACTTAATTACAAATATATACAACAAGGCAACAACAACTATTAAGCTAATGAAACAAACGGAGCCTATTAAAATAAACCGAGGAGTAAGACAAGGAGATACCATCTGGCCCAAACTATTCAACCAAGCGCTAGAAGATGTTTTCAAACGACTACACTGGGATGGCTTGGGAACGGCAAAATCTGAATCATTTACGATATGCTGAAAAAATTGTAATAATAACAAAAAAAAGTGAAGAATTACAAAGAATTATGATAGAACTAGATAGAGAATCGACAAAAATTGGACTCAAGATGAATTACAGTAAAACAAAAACCATGACTAATCAATCAGAAGAACTAATAATTACAGTGGCACAAACAAGAATAGAACAAGTAAAAGAGTATATATATCTAGGCCAAATCAATTAAATAAAGAAAATCAGACCGAAGAAATAAAGATAAGAATAAGATTGGCTTGGACATCGTTCGGAAAACTGTCTTATATTCTAAAGAATTCAAAATACCCCCAATACCTAAAGACAAGAGTCTTCAATCAATGTATACTCCCTGTCCTCACATATGGCTCTCAGACATGGACGTTTACAAAGGAAAATATGGAAAAAATAATAAAGCCAGACAGATCCATGGAAAGACAAATGCTGAACATTAAACTATCAGACAGAAAAAGAAACGAATGGATCCGTAATAAAACAAAAGTGAAGGATGTCTCAACCCAAGTAGAAAAGTTTAAATGGAAGTTCGCCGGACACCCTAAGGCAGAAAGATAAAAGATGGACTAAGACAATTATACATTGGAGACCATGGAATCACAAACGAAAAAGGGGTAGGCCACAAATGCGATGGTCAGATGACCTGAAGAAACACGCCGAGTCAAAATGCATGCAAATTGCCAAGAAAGAGAGGCATGGAAGAAGGAGGAGGAGGCCTATATCCAAGGATGGATGTTTAGGGCTGTATAGATAGATAGATATATTTACTGTACTATAATATGATCTAACTTATTAGTATATCCTAACTCATTGGCTTTAAAATATATTGTTTCATGTTATTCAGTAAAATCGCATTGTTAAACTGGCTAGCTCATTTATTATGTTTTAAGTTCAGCGAATTTGACTTTCTCTTTTGCTATTTTTGTGTCGCCAATACACACAAAACATGTTAAGTATTATATTACTGCGACCATTGAATTAGATTGTCGCTATTCAGAAGTGCCCTAAGTTGGTTTATGGGATTCACTTACCATGGTGGGTCCCATGAACCATCTAATGGTCAGAGGGTTCTTTCTGACAATCTTAAAGACACTTCATCACGAGACAGCCAACGAAACGCAACCAATTTTGTCGATTCTCTTCCTATCGAGCTTCGACTTTCCCGGCCGTCACGACGATATTTTACTGGCTAATACATCAATATTTCAAAAGGTAAGTCTGTGCTCTTTATATAGATAACAGTATGAGTTACAGCCCGTTAATTCTCATAATTTATTCAAATTTACTTTATTACTTTTATTTACAGTCAAAATATTGCATTTTTTCATCATTATTATTTCTAAATTCAGTTAACCAGCGATTTCTAAGTTTTACACAAAACTCCTGGCACGACTTTATTTGAGATAAGTTTAGTTGATTATATAAAAATCTATGCATGTTTGTCATAAAAGATTCATGTTTGGTTAGCAATTGGTTTATTATATCGATGGTATAGCGCACAGAAGTGGTAAGTATATTTTGGTCATTTCGGGGTTAAGTACACAGTAATTATTAGCTTAAGGTAAAGTATGTTGTGCACAAATGCGGTAGGTGTATCAATAATATTTTCAGAGATTTAAACAGTCTTTATGTGATAAGTGCTGTAAGACTGAATATATTGTAAATCACAATTGTGTTATGGATACTTATCCCATTTGGGCTACTAAGAAATCCGTTTCTAGTGAGCACGACTGTGGTAAGTACACATATAGCTTTTGCTAGTATACAACTTGGCAACGCCACGCAAGTAAAACTAACACACAAATTATTCCTTAGACGTTCTTAGGAAGCAAACATTGTAGTAGGTCAATTGAAGACATTTATTGTGATTTTGTAAAAAAATAACGAAAGTGATTACTTCCAAAATGTGGCCGAGCAATGGTTAATCTTGTTATCCAATCCAAACAAGGTAAGACATTTAGTGAATTGTGAGGTTAAGTTTAAAATTTAATAATTGTAAGTAATTGTTGTAGAAAATACTGAAACAATACCTTCAACTAATGAATTACCATGTGACGGGGAAAGTTTAGTAGACAATCCTGATATACCCGATCAAGACGGTAAGCTTTTAATTAGATGACCAACTTTTTGCTAAAGTTGCGTTCTGATTTTATATTTAATGTAGTGCGCGCTGTTGCCATATAGTGAAAATTCTATTAAATTTCAAAATTATTTGTAAGAATTGCTATTTTACACCGCATTTGGATTTTAATTTGTGAATTTTATTTTACAGGTGAAAACACTGTGAAGTAGACTTTAGTGATGGTTTTTCGGATTTGTATAAACCAAGCGAGAGCTCAGAGGAAAGCGATGAATCTGACAGTACAGCCTATGGTAAGTTAAATGTTTGTAAAACTATAATAAAGTGTTGACTCTAAGCTTTATTCTGTGAAGTAATGACTTTTCACAATTTTACCACTCATTATTTTTAATATAATGTGTTAATTAGGCGTTATTTTCAGTATTATTTTTTTTTACCTGAGTGCTTGTTTATCTTTTAGAAAATCAAGAAATAGCTCCAAAAAACATAGAACCGCTCAAAAAGATCCGGCGTAGAAAAGCGATGGCTACATTATGGAAACGGTAGAGAATATAAAAAAGTTGCCGTATGAGGGTAGAGGCTTACATAAATAGGTCAGGGAAAGCTATTGGACAGAAGAGACCGGAAAATGTTGTGCAATCTACAAGTGCAAGTGCAGGTATGACACGGTACTATTCATTGTAGTATAAAATGGCAATTCACGTTTTAATATTTTAGATTTGTATGTGCATATAATTTCACGGCGGAGCAACGTATCGCTATATGTGCTAAGTACTGGGCTCTTGGAGGCACGCAAAAACAGAAACAAATGTTGTATTAACTAATAACAACCACCGTAGTTGTACGTCGACGGACTCAAGCTACCAAACCGAAGCAACATTCTTACAAGTACCATTTAAAAACTTCTCCTGACACAGGAAACTATATTGGCGTAGAAGAAAGGACTGGTAAAAAACCTGAAAATAGTATGAATCGTTTACTTCAAACAAAATATGGGTGCACTGGTGTCCTATTACGTGTATAAATCAGTGTTTAGTTCGTATGATCCTTAACTTACTTTTTATGCACCAAAGAAGGATCAGTGCGTTAAATGCAATCTTTATCGTACCAATTTTGATAAAACTGAACAACTGAAAGCCGAGTGAACGGCACATAAAGACCGGGAAAATCTGCTATGAACATGAAAGCAGCGGATAAGACGAAATCTATAAAAGTCTTGTAACAGACATTTCGATCAGTATCGTTTGATCTCCTTGGTACACTGCATGCAGCAGAATCCCAAATATACTATTAGAGAAAATTAACTTCATATAGCTTTACACTTTTCGAAAACCACAGTAAACATGGATATTACTTCGTTTGGGATTAAATCAACAAAAAAAGGAAGCAACGAAATTGGAACGTGTCTTTTAAAATATGTGTCAATGGTACCAGATACGGATACTCACTTTCTCATTTCTCTTTCTCCGATACCTTTGAAGGGCAAAACAGAAACAAAGATGTTTCCGCAGCCATGTTTTATGCAGTGAATTACTTTAACCACATAGAGACAATAGATTTCAAATTTATGGAATCAGGGAATTCCTACTTAGAAGCAGATGCTATACACGCAACTATTGAAAGGGCGCGGAAACACAAGAAAATTTATACAACAAGAGAATGCGCGTTACTTATCTCTGCTGCTAGGGTAAACCCTAGACCGTATATTGTTCAAACAATGACATCTGAGGAGATTTATGACCTACACTTTCTGTCAAAGGAAACGCTACACAATACTACCAAAAATACTGCTGGTAATTCCGTTAACTGGCTTAAAATTAAATGGTTCCGCTTTGTAAAGGAGAAACCTTACTCGATTCTTTACAAATATTCACTTTCAGATGAACAATTTCTGGAAATCAATATCAATCAGAAGAGGAATGCACAGGAAAAATAATAATTATATGAGATTAATTCGTCTGTTAATAAAAAATAACTTTTTTATACACAGGTAACACAATGGAAGTCAGTAACATTACAAACGCTTATCCAAAAAAGCGTCCTATAAGCCAGGCTAAAAAAAGGACTTAGTTTCATTGCTCAACAGTGGAATAATATCCAATGATTATTATATCGTAATTATATCAATGATTGATATATCGTTTTATGAATCTTTACCCTGTTCTACGACAGCATTACGGGATGGTAATACAGATAATACAGAATATACAAACTCTCCTGGAAATCATTAACAGAGAAAGCAAAAAGATGGGACTAACAATGAATGAAAATAAAACCAAATGGACGACTTTCTGCAGAAAGGAACCAACCCACAAAATACATTTTTTTTGCTGTATTCATAGTACCGCCAAAGAATATAGACGCTTAGGTTAGGTTAGGTCTATAGGTAAGCGTCTATATTCTTTGGTACCGCTTTGAATAGTCGTTAAAAATTATATGCAGAATGGAACCAGGCCACAGCAAGTGTATGCTGCCATCTATATGGTAGTGAACCAACCCACATTACTTCAGTCCCCAATGAAGTAATCTGCAGAAAAGATCCAAGTGGGTTGGTTCTATTCTGCAAAATTTGGGAATTAGGTAGTATAAAACACTTGGTTCCTTTCTTCAATGACTTAATACTTTTGTTTGTCACGCAATAATGCTAAGACTGCATGTTTGTGTATAATAAAGTATAATAGGGTATAATACGTATAATAAAGTAGTGAAAATATTGCAAATTATTAGTTTTTAATAACTATTGGGTGATAACACATTTCTTAAACAATGAGTTATAGATCTTCCAGAGGACAAAATATAATAAATTTGGCTTTAAAGGTATCAAAAGCAGAAAATGAGGTTAGTTTTGCCACGACTATTTATGTTAGCATTTAATTGACTTATTTTCTTTTTAAAATTAGATGGAATCTTCAAGCAATGATCAAGATAATGAGTATGATGGCTATGATTCTGACGTAGATCCAGAATTCAGATTAGCGGATGAATTTCAAACTAATATAAGACATATTGAAGAACAATATCAGGAAGGTGATGATGTAGCTTTGAAAATCAAAGAAGAAATGCTAGAACAGGTAATACACTCTACTCCAGTCAATACAGGTAGGCCAAAGAAGGGACGAAAACGAAAATATCTGGGTCTAACAAGAGAAGAAAATAAGCGTTAGAGAAATTTACAAAATTTTCATTATAACTACAAAGGCAAAACTGTTGAGAAAAAAGAATTCAAAGATTTTAATTGCTCTTGTAAAATGAATTGCTACGTGAAAGTAACGACCAATGATAGAGAAGAACAATTTAACAGGTATTGGGAGTTGGGAGATTACAATGCTCAAACAGCCTTCATTGGTGCATTGGTTCATGAAGGCAATAAAAACCGAAGTTACGGTGAGACAAATTCTAATCGTACATATTCAAGGAAATACATGTTAAATAAAATACAGGTATGTCGCAACTTATTTATTAATACTTTGGGAATTTCTATTAAGCGTGTTAATACTGCAATGAAAAAACTTAGATCCTCTACATTGACAGACAAAAGAGGACAAAAACAGGGTGGAAAAAATAAAATTTCACAAGAACGAAAACAAGAAATAATTAATCAAATTGACAGGATTCCAAAATATGTGAGCCATTATCGCAGATTGCAGTGTGGTGATGCACAATTTTTGCCCCCGGAAATGACACTAAAACTAATGTATAATAAATACAAAGAAGATACTAATAATCCTGTTAGCTTTGTCGTGTACAGATGTATCTTCATGGCCGAGTTTAATTTAAAATTTAAGAGTCTCAAAAAAGACACCTGTACCACCTGCGATTCTTATCAGGCAAAAATAGATAGCACTCAAGATAATGAAGTAAAAGTAATGTTAGTAAATAAACATGATACTCATATCAAACATTGGCCAGAAGCCAGAGCAAAAATGAAACAAGATTTAGATACTGCTACTAGATAAACATTTGATTTGGAAAAGACTTTGCCCCTTCCACGCCTACCAACTGGAATTTTATTTTATAAAAGGCAAATTTAGCTGTACAACTTAAGTATTTACTCTGGAAAGAGCAAAAGAGATTCGTGCAATGTATGGATGGAAAATGAAGCTGGTCGTGGTTCCCAAGAGGTAGGATCATATCTTTTAAAATATATAAAAAATCATGTATCTAACGACGTAGATGAACTAATGTTATGGTCTGATTCGCGTGGGGGCCAAAATAGAAATATAAAATTAACTCTAATGATGAAAGCTGCACTTGAAACTCATGCGTCACTTAATAAGATCTATATCCGGTTCCTAATATCAGGGCATAGTTTCTTACCAAACGATGCCAATTTTTCAGACATAGAGTCTGCACTCAAACATCAACAAAGGTTATACCTGCCCGAAGATTACATAACTGTAATGAAAAACTGCAGAAATAGAAACAAATTTGATGTCATTAGAACGACTTCTTCTGAATTTTTTGGTACAATAGAAGCAGAAAAACAAATCTGTAACAGAAAAGTTGACATAAACAAACAAAAAGTTAATTGGTTAAAAACAAGGGAGATAATGCTAGATAAATCAAAACCATTTTATATTTTCATGAAAACAAGCTTTGCAGATGAAAAGTATTCTGAAGTTTACATCGGTAAGAAACATGGAAGGCCAGCAGTAACCAATAATTTCAGCCATTTACTTACAAAAATGTGGCCTAACGGGAAGCCTATTTCTCTTTCAAAATTAGAAGACATAAAATCTGTCATGCATTTAATACCAGTCCTGATGAACTTGATGACCTTGAAGATGAAACCATGACACATTAGCCGTTTTGGGAATATATTTTTGTAATATAGCTTTGCATTACAATTATATTTTTATATACTAGTATTGTTGTATTAAATGTAATAATTTCAATAAAACTTTTCTAAAGAGTTAATTTTTTAAAATACAGAAAGGAACCAACCCACTTTTATACATATATGCATAGCTGTACTATTATTTTAACAATAACATTTTAAAGAAACATAAATTCTAATGTATTAACTTACTTAGGAACTTTCGTCAAATAAATTTAAATGAGCTACAATTTTTTTTGTCGCAGAAACTTTAACTTCAATTTTCTCAGCTCGAGCTATTTGTGGGTTGGTTCTTTTCTGCAGAAAGTCGTCCAAATACATGGTGATCTCAAAAAACCCTGTTGACAACATACAACTGACATTGGAGGGTAAACCCCTAGAAAGAGTCGACAACTATAAATACCTCGGAGCAATTATAAACTCACAGTTAGATTAAGAGCAGGAGATAAAGGTTAGAATAGAAATAGCTCGAAAAGGCTTTGTGAAATACAAGTCAATGTTTACAAATAAGAGATTGAGTATGGCCATCAGATTGAGGTTCGTCGAATGTTATGTTTGGTCGCAACTTCTATATGGGGTAGAAGCTTGGACTCTGAAAGCCCAATCTATAAAAAAATTGGTGGCATTCGAAATGTGGCTACATAGGCGTATTTTGAAGATTCCTTGGACTGTAAAAGTCTCAAATGAGGAAGTGTTAAGACCAGTTAGACATGGCAGAAAGCTTATGAACACAATTAAAATAAGAAAAACATCGTATCTGGGCCACATACTCCGAAATGATAAATACTCTCTGCTACAAGTCATCATGCAATTTAGAGTAGAGGGAAGAAAGAAGAAATCTTGGCTGAAGAATATCGGAGATTGGACTAACCTCAGTGTTGAACAGATATTTCACGTTGCAAAAGATCGAGAAGCGTTTAAAGAAATGATCGCCAACCTTCGTTAGAAGACGGCATAAGAAGAAGAAGAATACAGATTCTGAATAAATTCAAAATTCAATAAAGTGGCTGATTCAATTTTTATTTTTTCTACTTAAAGAGTATTGTGAGTATAGTTCAATGATAAATAAAATTTTACAAAAACAGTATTCTTCTTACATCTTAATCTTAAACATATCTTAATGCCAAAATGTGGTAAGTACCACTTAGTGAACGACTGACGTGGTAAGTACATACTGCTTATTAAATAATTGGACATAGAAGAATTTTGCTAATATTATAAATATGTTTATATTATTGTGTATGAACTTAAGTAACTATTGAATAATTAAAGAATATTGCGGCAGCTATAAACTTAACACATTTCCTACACAACATCAAACTCAAACCGTTCTTGAAAATTACTATTTTCGTACTTATCACTTCTGTGCACTATACCGTCGATATAAAGCTAACTCAATGGTTGGTTAGTAATATTACTACAAATTGAAAAGGTAAGTCAATTATTCTTCTATTAAGCAATAATATATTTCGCAAAATCAATAATTATTATTTTATTTTTTATTGAATAATTTATACATCCTTGATAGAGGGCAGTTTCCACTTACCAGGAATGCCCTTAAATATTCTGATAATACCTAGTAAGGTATTTTACTTCAAAATGGATATAAATAGCATTTTTCTATAAGCTTTTATCTTAAATTTTACCAATATCAACCTACTTTACCGACACGTCCTTTCTAACACTCGCTCATAAAGTCATTTTAGTCTTATTTCCAGTTTTTCTTATTTGGTAATAATTTTATCTTTAAATGAACAAGGAAATATGTTCCAAATACTAGGTTTTATCATTTAAACATTTACTTCAATCATTTGCCTTCACTTTTCTAGTTTTTGTTTTTGATCTCTTTAAATTTTTCTACCAACACAACATCAGCAGCATACACTTAGCACTAAGAAATGCCACCCTGTAGTTTCTTTCTTATTTGATCCAATACTAATGAGAATAAATTAAGTACTAAGCACTGATTGATGAAACTGATTTTACGGATAGAATTGTCTCATTGGTTGCTGCCATTGTTGAGGTGCAAAATTTGGCTGTTGATACAATGGTTTCTGGATAGGTACAGGCATCTGCTGTCTCTGAGGTCGGCGTTCTTGATAATTTTCGCTTCTTCCTGATGTTGGAGGTTGGCTTATTTGATTTTTTTAAGGTATAGAACATTATTTTCTTTCTGTACGTATTGTATTGCCGTGGCTAAACTTCCTGGTCTTATTGCTCTGATAACAGAGCCCATTGGTTCTCGTAGGTTCTCGTAGGCCTGCTAAGAATGTTGAAAGAGCTTGTTGACGGAAAAATTATTGTTTGCCCCTCTTAATATCGGCATTTATGGTATGTAATTCTAGGTAATTTTTAATGCAGCTTAAAACGACCATGATCTTTTCGAGAAAATGCAAAATAGATTTTGTTGAGCCTTGTCTTAAATATACTAGGTCCCTTGTAAGCGTTTTTTATTTCGTCGCAACTTTTGCATCCATATACTAATATAACTTCTTTGGCTGTGCCTGATTATTTACTGGTAATAGCATGAAGCAAAAACTTGTTTTGCATATTAGCTGCATTAAGTCTGTCATAATAATGGTTCAGAAGTATTGTAGAAACTTTAATAGTGCATTTAAGAATGCATAAATTTTTACCGTCAAATTGTGGAACTGCCATATTTTAAAAATTTCAATATAATATAGGCAATACTCAAATCATTATAGTAATTTTCAATAGCCAATATATAAATATATCATAATTCTACTTATCTTCTACCTATTAATCTCTATGTTTATTAATATATAGTATTTATTAAGTTATTCAAATTTGTCTTTAAATTCTGAAGTTTCTGAATTTGACTTCAAAGTCAATCTAAGGACTTATAAAAATTCTTTCAAAATTTAATCTTCTTAATTCTAAGTAATAATAAAATCGCTTACAGGATAAAGACGATGCCGATGTGGATTTCTTTCCTCCTGAAGGCTTCTTACTTCTAATTCCCTTGGGTGAACTCTGCAGACGGTTTCCCCTGGGGCTGGTTCTTGGAACAGTGGACAAACACTAAAAGTGACGAGGATCTATAAAGACTCTTCCACTTCCGTACTGACTCTGCGCCAATTATGAATGTTCCTGGGAAAAACACTTTTTTAAAAACTGAACTTCACAATTAAAACTTTAAATTTTCGACTTACAAAGATTTTAGTAACAACAACGATACAACAACTGGATGGTAGCGGTCATTGTACTGTAACTTGATTACTATGAAAATCAGAACGATAAACATACGCGGCATGGATAGCCCGAAAACCGGCCGTCATTCATTTTGTCTAGATGGTCGTTCCAGTTATTTTAAAATTTTGCAATTTTGACATTAAACGTAAATATATTAAAGTTTTGTCTTTAGTATTGTACCGTTTTTAAAAATAAAGAAGGGTTCTTAATTTATATAAATATATTTATTTATAAGTTTACAGCACGAAAATATCTTATCGACTAACTTTAACTCCTAAAAGGTCTGCTTATATATACAAGTTATTATGTACTGGAATATTCTGGAGTAATCCACATCTAATTCGTCTGTTTGACGGATTAAACTCTCACGCGGTCGATAGTTCCAGTCGCTTCTAGAAGGACAGATCATCCTCGTCTCGAGATGCAACCGTTAAATGGGCTACGTCGAATGCATATTCGTAACACTGCTCCCCTTAGATCTCTTAGATCTGAGATTCCCGATCAGCAACTCTATATGTAGGCCCAGGATGACGGAATCTATAGGACTCCCCAGCTATGCATGAACGCCTTAGAAAGAAACAACACTGTCTTTGAATCACACGATTTCTTCAGATTAATGCAACACGTTTTAATTCGTACGCCGGTTTCTCGGAAGATCACTTCAAGCATGCTTCTGACAATCTTCCAATCTAGATTTTCTAGTGCATGGCCTATCTTGGGTAAGGCCAAATTATTGATGTCATAATTGCACACGATTTTCTTCAAATTAGTTAGATCACGCCATATGTCTCACTCTCACACTCGTAGGTTGCTTTGTTTGTATACGACTTCCTGGATTACGGAATTGTAGCAACCAGTTTAGAGTGGCGTGATCCGTGCGAAGAAGAAACTTTCTGCCATATAAGT